TGGCGCCCCAGAGCCGCTTGTGGCTTTGGGCCAGGGCAATTCCCTTTGCTGCTGATCGGCAGCTTTGTGGCGTGTTATAGAGAAAGAGCCCTCATACTGGTGATGAATAAAATGGAGGTAAATCTGGCTCCCGTATCCCTTCTAGACTTAATCCCAATGGCACCGTCGCCATCCAGTATTGCCATTGACACAAGCCAGTGGAAGCAGAAAAATCACCTTTGAGCCCAAGCTTTCTTAAAGATTAAGTCAAAAGAGCTTAGGTGCCTGCAGGCTTCAGAAAATCCCAGTAGATAACTCCATGGTCTTTCAGGAATGAAAACACTTAGAAAGCTTTCTCTAAATGGTTTGTCTAGATTACACAGGCGATCTGGTGGGGCAAAGAACTGGATTTTGTCTCTAGGACAACCTGCTGGCCACAGGGCCCTCCTGTCCTTCTGCAATAGCCTGGGGGTTTCTGTCCTTTCCCCAGGAAACTAGCCATACGCAGCCCTACGGCCCGGGCATGCGTCTGTCTTTATATCCCCTCGATAGCTTTTGTATTCATTAGCTGATTTTTGTTATATCTGACAGGGGGATAGTTGTTTTAGGGGTACTGAAATTTCATACAAATTCTATGAAACTAGATGGTCAGATAAAGAAGAGACAATTCTTTTTGTGTCCCACCTGAGGGAAAAATACTTTTTCACACATCAGAGAACCGGACAGAAAGACATTCAAAGACAGGCACTAGTAATTCCACTGATCACAGGGTTTTTTTGGCTGTTTACTTCTCTCCTAACCTCTCTTACAGAAAATAATTCAGATTTGTAACCTCAGATTGCTCTTCAAAGCATACTTTTGTTTTTCACATCTCAGTATTTCAGCAGCCTTCTTTACAATGCCTCACTGAGAAAGCAGAGATATTTTCCCTGCTGAATTCAAAGCCAATGGTAGTTTTGATTTTGCATTTAAAAAAGCAAGATGTAACAACTCTTGTTTTGCCAACCCAGCTCTCATTTATGCTCGGTCTGCCTCAGAGTTCATGGACCGAATTCAAACAAACAGAACTAAGAATTCCCTGGTGTACTGCCATTAAAATGTCAGTGAATTAATTTGTGCAAACACTTTAAAACATCGGGTAGCTTGACAGTAAAACAAATGCATCATTTTAAAAAACATAGTGCTGGATACGGCAAAGCTTTCAATAAAACTGAGTGCTATTTAAACATGCCAGGCCTTACCCTTAACCACACTGAGATGCTTCATACAAGTCTGGCAGCATAAATATACCTTTCAGGCATGTAAACGGAAAGTCTGCCAACTTTAACATGCCAACAAGATGGTGAGTGAAGGCATAAGTTTAAATTAGAAACAATCTCATAATAATTTCAAATAGCTACTTGCTTCTCCCATGAGGTATACTTCATCATAGGGGATGAGTACCCTCCATCATTTGTTGTGTACACAATAATCCGATCAGATCAAACACCTGTATCCTTGAAATCCGAAAGTTTAATTAATAACATTACCCCACGCTTTTCCTGAGTAATGCATCCTAAGATTGCCATATAGTGGGTAGGTATGAGTTGCAGTTGTTCAGATAATAGGATTAGGTCTATCTTATTAGCTGTGGTACCTGAACTAATGCAGTGAACACTATTCTGTCTTCACTGCATGTTTTCCATCTTTCATGTGAAATTCATTATTTCAGAATTAGCTCAGCCTGGCTCTTCCAGCAAGACTTTCTTTTTCCTTTGTTGACTAGTGCAGGCAAGCAAAATATTAAACCCATTTGAAGATTTTGTTGAGGATACTTGTTGCAGAAGGCGGCAAAAGAGAATCTGAAAATGCAAAGATTCTCTCTTCATGTTGCAAAAGCAGAGCCGAGTGAAACAGGTCAGAGAGGGGAGCTAGTTAGATGTAAGTAGACATGGTAAACTGCAGAAAGTTAAATGTAAAGTTCAAAGAGTACAAACGAAGCAAATCGCTCGGGGACATTGCTTTTCATTAAGTGTTCTGCTAAGGAATGTACGACCTCTGCCGTTAAACCTGTTCTAATGGGGTCTGCGCCTCTGTCAGAAAACTGTAAAAGGTCCAGAAATGGATGAAGTTGAAAACTGCTGGCTCAGAAGATTGATAAGGAAGCAGAAAGGCTTTCACATCTAAACCATTACCTCTAATCCAGAGTATTTCCTCAAGAGTGTACAAAGCTCTTCAGCCTCTCATGGTTGTTTGTGACTTCCAAAACCTGAACATGTTGTACTCACTACGTAGCAGAGATGCAGGGTAGGCAAGATGCTTGCATGTCCCAAGAAAAGCATAGATGTGCTAGGGCACTTATTTATTTTACAGAAAAGACAGTGAGACTTGAGGAGATGTTTGACTGAAAAAGAAACTCATGGCTTGTCTCAGACTGGCCTATGTGAAATGAAAAACATGCTCAAATCTGCTCCTTGAGCTGAGAACTAAATCCGTCCTGGTCCCAGAACTGCCATCATAGTCAGCATTTATAGGTGTTCATTAGCAAGCTTGTACAGAAGTCAGGACCTGCAGGTTACGGAGCTGAACTTCCCCCAGAAGAGCTATGTATTTGCTCTCCTGAGGCACTGCAGAGAGAATAACATATCTGTTTAAATCTGAAGTTCCTAGGTTGAAACATAGGCTTTTAGTCTCAAGAGAGCACTTCTGAGGTGCACAGAAAATGGTGGAAAATAAAAAATATCTGCAGGAACTCAGAAATATGTAGGAGAATCTGGGTGAAGTTAAACAAGTGCTAAAGGCAGTAATTTTTAGTGTGCTTTGATAAGGACTTCGTATCTTTACACAAAGAAAAGATAAGGCAAGTGCCTTCAGCAAATCCTGCCCTATCTCAGACAGGCAGAATTCATTCCAGCTGCATCAGGAAAGCTTAGTCCACTGCTTCTCGGAAAATGCTGTATTCCCCCACCATATGTGGCACTCTGCTTTATGGCGATTTCTTTTAGATCTGTGAATACTGTATGGGTAACGCTTGCTCCTTGGTGATCTGAAATGAGGGATTTAGAGAAACATTTTCAAAAGCACCTAAGTTACTACAGAGCCTAGGGATTATAGTATTCCTATCATGCAACTTTTGGCACTTTCTTTTGCCGACTGATAGAGGTTGGCCTCCACACACATCCTTTGTGGAGTGTGTTTCAGAGTAGGAGCCAGAGTTGGATGTTGTAAAACAACCTGTGGTGGAGACTCTCTCTGTGCAAGTGGGCTAGCATGGGTATCTCCTTCTCTACGCCTATACCCCATGCGTCATGAGCAAGACCAGGGAAATGGCCCCATGCCACGGTAGGACAATTGAAGAGGCAGAAGGCAGGGCAGAAAAAGGTAACTAAGGTAAGAAAGGGGGAAGGCAGATTCAGAAATGTTACTTGTGTTATTTACCAGCTCTGCATGGAGCAGGCGCTCAGCAGAGGCTGGTGAAACAGGAATGTGGCTTCCCCGAGCCACTCAGTACCCCCATCACTCTCAGGACGTGATTTTCCTATAGGCCCCGATATGGGCCTTCAGTCGTCCATAGGAATATTGCGCTTCCTTTCAGTGAGGAGAAAAGTGGGCCTATACTGAGTGCTCTTTAAAAATCCCATCCAAACCTCAGTAGTGTAAATCACTTGGAATAATTAACTGAATAACATCCTGATGCAGAATCTTATCTAAATCCAGTACAATGATGGCTACAGCCTCACTGCCGTTCCTCAAGCAAGGGGCAGGCAGAAGGCAAGGCTAATGAAAAGGCATCATATTTACGCCTGGGCTCCCTACGAAACACCAGCTCTCCAGAAAGCACCTCTCTCCCTGCAGGTTTCAGGCTCTGAGGTAGTTTCGCTGCTAGGAGGTGTTTCAGGACCTGCCCTTGGTCTCCTTGGTGCTCGTGAGAGGTCAGCCTTGGTCTTGGCACAGCGACGGTCCTCTCCTTTCAGGCATACTGAGAAGTGCATTGATATGTGCCTTCTCCAGGAGGTGTGTAACTGCACCATAAATTTGGGGTAGTTTAGTTCTTTATAGCCACCAAAATAAGCAAATGAGATTCCTGAAAGATTAAGGGATATCCCATTTCTGAGCATCTGAGAAGGAATGGCAACCCATCTTAGTACAATATTAATCTAAGTAGAATATTAATTTTTTCCCCACTAAAATGAGGACTATATTTTTTCCTCCAACTTTGAGCCATAAGTTATTCATGTTTGAACCCATTAAGTGTACCTCGCCTTTCCTATGTAAATGAGTCTTATTTGTACCTGGCAGAGAAACACAGTGCCAAACACACAACATAAAAAACAAAATCTAAGAAAAAAAAAATCTGGTGGTGACTCACCAAAAAGATTATATTAAGGAAAAGATAATGTTTGTATTATTCAGATTAACCTCTTGATGTTGGCAGCCTGAATCTTCCACCTAGTCGTAGTTCTTTCCCATGCCAGGCTTTGAGTCAGCTTACCGGCTTTAGCACCCTAACACCCTGACTCGCCTGTCTATGGTAGAAGGCACTTGCACCTTAGGTGCTCTGTAGCCATAGCAACGCTCAAAGATAATGATGAAGTCAGGCTGGAAGAGTTTTAAGCCTCTCTCCCTCCCCATTTTTTCCAGGGACAAGGATGAGGCCAGTGCTCAGTTCCCAAAGGCGCTGTTCGGAGACCTGCCGTTCTCCCCACAAAAGACAGGAGCGGTGTCAGGCCAGGATTTTGGCTCTGGGTGGCTGGCCAGGGTGCAGTCCAGGGCTGCGGGAAGGAGGTGCGGGGAGCCAGGGCTGTCCCTCTCCACTACGCTCCTGCTGACTGGTTGCCTTCCCAGGGCGGCTGCGCAGGGCCCCTTGAGGACCACCTTGACTTCCCTAGGTCAGGGCTGCGGTTTCATGCCATCTGCCCAGCCTCCCCAGTACCCTCACAGCGGTAAAGCCAAATGTACCTCGGCTGGTTTATGAGCGCATTCTCCTCATTCTTTGCCTTACGATTACTCTCCTACAGCAGCTCTGTCTCCTTGATTTTTAGATGAAAATCTTTGACAGAAACAAAGATGGACGGCTGGACCTGAATGACCTGGCAAGGTAGGCTTTAATAATATTGAGACGGTTTTTCAGCTTGCAGCAGCAGATCCAGGCGAGGCAATAATTTACAGCAATAACATATCTCTCTGTGGAGATATGCATTTGAATCCTACCTCTTTTCAAATTAAATCAGGTTACTCTGATGTAGGTATCATGGATCTTCTCCAGCACGGTCCCCACAGCAATGGTTTGTGAGTGCCTAGAGCCAGTGACACTCAGGAGCGTCCCAGACCTGTTTATCCATTATCGGCGTGCTCTGGAATAATTTATGTGACCTCTCTAATGCTGCCCAGGAGGTCACGAAGCAGGCAGTAGTGCTGTTTCTCAAAAAGAAGGACTGCAGTCCCTTTCAGCAGACTCACAGCCATGCATCAGCTTTGCATTTGTTTCACATCATCACACGCAGTGGGGATTGCAAAGTAATGTTGTTGTTTGCTGGAGGAAAGAAGGTGCCCCTGCAAGGGTTTTTGCAAATATCAGCAGCGCAGGATTTGGGGAGAAGAGGCCAGGATATAGCTGAATGAAGCTGGGGATCAGGCATATGCCTCTGCCTCTTTTCTGTCCCAGATCCCTCAGAGGCATCTTAATGATTTTCACTGATAGAGAGCACACACATGTGCATAAACATATGAGAAATGGCTGGCTGGGACTTTAAAAGTACAGGTGCAGCCTTCTTAAAATACCAAACGCTCTGTTGCATTTTCCTTTTGAATATGGTCCCCCGGCTGCTCCCTTACCCCACTCCAGCTGAGGCTCCCCTCTGCTCTGCACACGTTTCTCACCTCCCAAGCCCTGTGGCCTGCAGACGCAGTTTGGTATGTTTTTGCACTGCAGGCTCAGAAAAAGCTCAGGGTTTAGCAGAGCAGCTGGAAAGATAAAAACTTTTATCAGTGTTGTGAGAGGCTTTGGAGGGAGGAGGAGGAAAGGAGAGGAATTTGTGCAGTGTCAGTTCTTGGGCCAGTATTACTTTGTCCTTTGCTTTTACAACCAGCAATTCTTCCTCCAAAGGATAGTGATAAATTGCTATTTACTTTATGTAGCACAACAATCCACTCACAGAGGAATAATTGTCTGGTAGCTCTTGCTTCAGATGCTGACAGCCTCCATTGCACTGGACCATCGGAAATACTCTGTGAGGAGCTAGAGTACTAAGAAAGATGTTTTCAGTGAAGCAAAGAACGCCTGCAATTCCCCCATCAGGCAGGGAGGGGGGCATATGTTCACACAGCAGACCTCTATAAATAACCCTTCTGGTGATTTTCTTTTTAAAAAGCCTACAATCGAAAATCTCTATGCTTTATGAACCAGAATAGTTCAGAATAGTTTGCATGTAGATGATAAAGTGGAAAGATCACAACGATCATAATTTATATCTCCCTGTTCAGGATTCTGGCACTCCAGGAAAATTTCCTTCTTCAATTTAAAATGGATGTAAGTAGCAGTATTTTTTAAAGTATTCATCACGTTTTTCTCAGTTAACATAACTTGTGCCCAGACTTGAATCTTTTCTTTCATATTTCATTTCCTTGTCCTCTCTGTGTGCAGGCTTGCAGCACAGAAGAAAGAAGGAGAGATTTTGAGAAAATCTTTGCACACTACGACGTTGTGAGTCCCAGAGGCTATTCTCTTGCATTCTTTAGACTTTATAGACGAAACGTCCACTGCTAAAACTTCTTCATCCCTGTGGGTGCTGTAGCTGTCCCGCAGCAGTTGTAGCTATGCTGGAGCCCATGGGCCAGAGGGCTCCAGGCACCAGGCTGTGGCACAAAGAGCGGGGACAGAAGTGAGAAATGGTCAGGGACCTCATTGGGAAGGACCCATTTTTACTTTTTCCACTGCCCCGGGGGCAGTGCTGCTGCATTAGCAGTGCCCTTCTTCACGAAAATCAAGGCTTGTAGAGGGAATGGTGACTTTAGCTCTATCAGTCTCTGACAGTTTGAGACCTACATCACCACCTCGAAAAGTAATATCCCTTCCAGGACTGAAGTTATCGTTATTATAGTTATTTAAGGAGTCTGATTCAGGCTTTGGTTTGGGGAGAAGGAAGGGATCTTGGCACCATAGAGCCCGGGTAGACCTACTGACTAGTCAGTAGGTCTTTTCACTTACTGAAAGTTTTTTTTTTTGTTTTTTTCTGCCTTTCAGAGTAAAACAGGAGCCCTTGAAGGCCCAGAAGTGGATGGTTTTGTCAAAGATATGATGGAACTGGTTAAGGTAGCTTCATGGTCCTTTGTATTTATTAGTACTGTATTTTTCAGAGAGGAGGGTGCTTGTTTTGCTAACGTTATGTAAATAGAGAGGCTAATGAGAAGCTAGAGTCAAATATAATTTTGATCAGAGGTGGAAATTAATGTCACAATACTATGCCATACTGTCACAAATACTATAGACCGTTTGCCCATATCGCAAAAATTTTGCCTCACGAATCAATATGGCTTTAGTAAGCGACTATATTTAAGAAAGGTCCCTTCTAGCTCATATTCTAAATTAGGCAGACATTACAGTGTCACAAACATGCAATGAAAATTTAGTCTTTGCCTACTCCACCCATACACATGCATTGTTTTATTTAGTGAAATTAGGCTGAAATAGTTGAAGGGTGTTGAGTAAGCTTAAAGAGAAACTAGAATAAACAATATGTGCCTCTGCTTTTTCATATTACTTCCCTCCTGAGTACAACAACAGGTAGCGTTGCTAGGAGCTGAGTGCCCTCAGCTCCCACTGACAGCAGTACAGACCAAAGGTTCCCAGCACATCACCAAACTTGGTCATTTTGAATTCAGGAAATTCAAATGTGAGATCATTAATGGCTGTGATTTTGCTAACTCAGATTTGGAGATAGATATTCCATAACATACCTTGGTAAGCAGGAGACAGATGACTGAAACTCCAGCATAGGTCTCTAGAGAGCTGGTTCTGCTACAGAAACTCTCTTTGGCTTCAAGCAAGTCATTTCTCCCCGTAACCCTGTCTTCAAACTGGAGATCTTTCCTGGCTCATGGCTGTTCATGGGGGACAAGGCAATTTACAGTTGGAATGTGGTAACAGTAGTACAGAGGCTTATATGTACAAAAACAATTGCTATTGTTAAACTTTGCCTCTTCAGTGCCCTAGCTAATGTGACTGTGTCAACATGGGTCAGTCACCAGAAGTTCTTTCCTTCCTTTTCACTGAGGTTAGGATCCTTACCACACTTGTTGACTTCATGGTTTGTTAGCTCATCACAGGGCTACACTTGAAAATTATGTGCTCTTTTCCACTAATCAGGAATACTACGGCCAATGTGTGACTTGAGCTTCTTACAGACAGCAGATTCCATCTGCATTGGATTACGTTGCATTTCCAGATGTGCTCCAATGTATAGCTTTTGATACAAATAGCGTGCTCTTTGGCTCTCTCTGAGCCTGAGCTATTGTGTTTCCATGCAATGGTACCTGCAGGGCCACCTATGCTCCCACGTCTGTTTAGCTGAGTGTGGAGCCTGTCGCTTAATCCAGCCTGTTCCCTGAGCACGTCAACCCTGGCCAGTGAGCCCTGTGGGGCAGTCCAGCTTCAGTTTCTGAGCAGCCTCCACCAAGTGCAGGTCAGCGTGGGGACATCTCTCACCCCGTGATGCGTTTAAGCCTCATGTCAGAGACTTCTCCACTTCCTGCATGACACTAAAGGACTGAGACAAGCTCAGACTAGAAGGTAGCCAAATTCTGGATCAGTAAATGTGATTTGAAGACTGATTCTTCAGTGCTCCCACAGAACCTGCTGCTCATGGTGCCAATTGCCTTTGCCACCTGCAAACGATTATTTTTCTCTCTTACTTCTCAGAAGCATGGGGCACTTTTGGGCCATGCATTACCCCCTGAAAAGGGATTAGCAATTGGCAAACTCTGCTGCGTTTTGGAGGAGTGCTGTAAGGAGTCCAGCTGGCCTCTCTTTCTTCTTCTGGGGGAGCTCCTCTGTAGTATATGGTGTCCACAGAGGAGAAAAGATATAAGCACTGAGAATCACAGAGAACATGGTCTGCATCAGGGATAAGCAAAGAGGGAGCCCAGCTCAGGTCTTGTCTATGCCTTATTTGGCTGCTGCATCTACCCCAGGAGCTCCTTGATGTTTGCACTGCTGCCTGCTTTCCAGTGGGGGCTCTGAAAGCAGGAATTGTTTCACTTACTGGGAATATTCTGGCCTGATGCTGCAGTTTTCCCGAGGAATGTAAGTGAGGTAAAACAACAACAACAAAGTACTTCTCAGTCCTCTGGATCTCAGCGAACTCTGATTGGAATTTCCCAGAATGAAGGAGAGGTGCTTGAGTAGCCCAGTAGAAATCTCTGCCAAATACCGAGGACTTCTGCAAATAGTGAGAAGTATGAAGGCTTCTCCAAGAAAAGATTCTTCAGAATCTTTTATAATGAAAAGTGTTCAGAAAACTAACTATAGAGGTCACCAGCAGCTTCCCCTATAATCTATATAATGACTCGTGTTTAACAGAGCTTGTCTTTAGAGGAATTGTATCTGTCCATGGGTTAATAACACAGCTGGGTATAATGGCATCTGGTTTCAGTCTCTGAAAACTTGATGGGTATTACTCTTTGCTTCCTGTAACCTATCACCTTCTCCCTGCCAGCCACTTTCAATTTCTCATTTCCAACTATAACTGACTATATGCCACATTTGGACCTTGGATAGATACATCCAATAACAACAAAATAAGTTATGATGTCAGATAATGCCACATAAATATATAATATACTTCTTTTGAAAACTCATCTTGCCCAAGACAGTAATCTTTTCTGACATACTTTTCACGTTTGCCACACTGCTAGAGAAAGTTCTGTTGTGCTGTCAACCATGACAGTGGCTGAACCAAAATGAAAAGCCAGTTGGCCATATGTTGGCTGTGTATGTACGTATGTGTGGCCATGCAATACGTAGGGATAGGTGTGAGGAGAGACAGGACATTGGATTTATGCTCTGTGTACCTGTGTGCAAAGAAGGGGGAGTCATACCTTCCCTAAGGGCCTTCATCCTCGTCATCCTCACGCACCACAAGTTGTGTATGTGAATTTTTTTCTCCTCTGGAAAAAGTTCTTCTCAGGCCTAGTAGTGCAGAGCTCTATATCCCACGTGCATCCTCCCACAGACTTTCATGTCATATGGCTCAGATATGATGGTCTTGGATAAGGACAAAAAATCATGTTAGATTTCCTTCCAGTTATTTACAGTCCCTTAAGCCTAACCATACCCATTCAGTTTTTGCAGGGCCATCATTTCTTCATTCGCTGTTCACTTCCCCACCTTACATGAGTCGATGTGGGGTCAGGCCATTTGGTCGCTTTGGGGTATTTCCCTATCTCTGTAATTCCCACTGGTCCGCAAGGCTAAAAAAATCCAGAGGTATTTTCTCTCTCAGCAACAGCTCTCTCTCTCTCTTTTGTCTCCAGCCCAGCATCAGCGGAGTAGACCTGGATAAATTCCGCCAAATTCTGCTCAACCATTGTGATGTGAACAAGGATGGAAAAATTCAAAAATCTGAACTGGCCTTGTGTCTTGGGCTTAAAACGAACCCATAGACGTGACTGTGCTTGTGGTTGTGCTTCCCTCGTGTGAGCCTGCCGCTCCTCGTAGAAGTGTTTCAGTGCTGTGTGACCGTGTGGGAGGTGGGGAACAAGGGCACCTAGCTGCAAGGCTGAAGAGCATCTGTACAAAGATGCAGCAGAATGGGAAACACGTGGAGGGCCTCTCCACTCAGCAATTAGATTTGTGGTGTTCAGTAGATGCTGTTGCTTCTGGGTTTCTTTAACGGTATCTCTATCTACAAGCATACCAGTTTCTCAAAACAGGGGGATGCTGTTCTACTCCTGCCTCCATGAAATACTGTCCTACTAGTCTTCTAGAATAGGGGACACAAATCTCCTTAAAAATGTAACATCAGTGCTCTCAGACTGCAGCTAAGTGTTTTTTGATGGTTGTCAAGCCACTATTCTGGTAAAAAAAATGAGCATTATGCTTTGTTTGTCCATTTAAAATATTGGATGGATGACAGTGTATTTGTGCAGAAATAAAAAACGACAGTTAAAAAAATATAGTAGATTGGAGTTAATGTGTTATGTATGGAAAGCCATCTGCTGCAGACTTATAGACCACATAAGGTAGCCCTTTTATGTAAAACTCATCAAATGGAGAGGTCTATCAAGTGTAAGTTTTAAGTATGCCAGGAAATAAAACATGGTAGGTTCTTTTTATGGGGAAACCACACACAACAGAAAGTATCACCTCCAGGACAAAGTCACAGAGTAACATCATTTCTGGAGGAAGCCCTTCTTTTGACCCATACTGAAGCAATATACAAGGTTTCCATAAATTTGAAGGCTAGAAGGACAGAAGTCTAATTAGGGCAAAGCTCTGAAATGTATGCTTATTTTTTTCTAAACCTATAGGAGTTAGTAAATGTTTACAAGCTTTACTGAACTGAAAACTTCCCATCACTTCTGGGCCATATGCGTAACCTTGGAGTCTGATGGCAGCAGCATCATTTGTACCGTGTATTTCCCTATTCCAAATAATTCGGCCATATATTTAGAAAGTGCACCACCTGCAATATCATCCTCAAATAATCCTTTCTTTCATTTCCAAAGAGACAGCTTTGGGGGTGGAGGGGATTGTTGGCAGAACTTTCAACCTTTCCAGCATTTATGTCTCTTACAGATGAGAGACCCAGATCTGACACTGCAAGTTTTTTCCTGGTAATGTTCTTTCTGAAATATAGTACAATGGAACACTCAATTTTCACTCTATTCTATCAATATTAATCAGAAGTAACCTTCAGGCAACACGAATACAGATGGAGATGCTGGCTCAATAAAGCACTGAAAAACATAACTCTAGGGATATGTTCATTCTCCATTCACATTGATGATAAACTCATATACAGTATAAGTGCTAAGCACATGCTCATGCACTGCACTGAGCCAGGGCTTTAAGTTCTTAAACTACTTTTTACCCGCCCTGGCAGCAACACAAATCGCAACCACAATAACACAGATTCGCAATGGTTCGGAAAAAAACACAAACAAGAAATCAGTCCTTAGTGGTAGATCCACAAACCATCACAAGTGCACTTTTACTTATGAAAACATACATCCCTCTGAGGGAAGAACTGTGTTCAGGAGTGCATGAAACATCATTGTCCTGAATAATTTGCAACAAAATATAATAGGGGACAACGCCAACTGTCTTTCCATCATACCTTTCATGGGATATGGCTTATCAGCCAAAACAATTGCATTTTTCAGTGTACCCTTCTGTTTTTCTCTTCTTTCTGCCTTTATAATGTTCTCATTTTTATTATTTCCTTAGTCTATAGTTTCCTGTACTTTGGGTATGAGAGAAATGTCTATACCCTGACCTGCAACATATTTCCACTTTTAGATGTTTTTTTATGCTATTGTACTTTTCAAAGATAAAGGGTCCATTCTGTCTTGCCCTTGTTTAAACATATCGATACCAGTAGAATTATATCTGCTATATGAAAGTGTACATTCAAGAAAATCCTGTCCTGCCTCACCAAAAATGTGACAGCTTTTATCCTAAAATGAGTAAGTCTTTTAGAGAGTATATGCAACCACAGCTCTTATTACAAGAGTTGTTATATAACACCTCTTTATTGAAACCTTATGCTTTTCACATTCTCTTTAGCCAATAATTTTTTCAGCAAGTGCTAAGCGGTAATGAATTTGGTATGCTGTTGTCAGAATGTATTTTGTTTCTTCTGTATAAATCTGTGGATTTTTTTAATATTGGGTTCTTTTCTGTAGATTTGTGCAACTCGTTTTACTGCATAACTCTAAGTGAGTTTACAGGAGCATTTTGTAAAATGTTAGCAAAAAGTATTTGGGCAACATACATGAAAAGCTTGTATAAGAAACTCTTCTGAGTTCTTTATGAAGAATGTATTTAGTTCTGTATTCTTATTAGCCTATTTTTTGTGTTTGACAGCTCTTCTGGGTTATTTATGAATTACATCCCATTATAACAAACTGAGAACAAAACACCAACATAAATTAATGGGGAAAAAAACAGGGTATTTCATATAAGCTTCTGGTTTTCCAAGTGCCCAATTTCTACTGCAAAATTTATTCGCCTTGAAAGACCTTAATTTGCCATTCAAATATGTTGTATCAGCTCTCTCTTTAAATTGTTCCATCTCTTATTGACTTTTTTCAAGGGCAAAAGCATTTTTGGCTTTTAGAACATGTGCAGCTCATAAAATTGGGAGGAGAAAAGGTTATATCTGACGAGCCTAATGGAAATCTCTTGAAAAGCTTTGCCTTGAGGTCAGGGGATCAACTGGCAACCCCTGGCTATGGGAGCTCCACCACTACCTTCAGTAGGGATAGGAACTCACCTTTTATTTTATTATTGTGTGTTTAAATGTCTAGTCCGAGTTGCATAGCGCTGGCAAACTAAAAATGTCCCAAGGGGACGAGGCTGGGCTGGGGCCGAGGGGATGACTGGGAAGAGACTGGGCTGGGGAGGCAGGCGAGGATGACGTGACGGAGGCAGACAGGGCTGGATAACGTTGCCTCACGGGCATTGGGAACGCGGTTTTGGGAAGCTAAAGGTTGGGCTGCGAGAAGGTGGTTAATGGCAAAGGGAAATGTTCTGGAGTTGTGAGGAGGGATCAGGAAAACAGGCATGCACGCTGCCCTTTCGCAGGGGCTGTAAGGGAGAGCCGTGGTCCCTGCGGGACTCCAGGCCTAGTGACATGCAGCTCCCCTTTAAGCAAATGAAACGTCAGTAGAGGCAGCGGGATTTGAGCCCATGTTACAAAGGTTAGCAAGGCAATCATTAGTGAGCCCAGGGCTTATAACCCTCTAGCCTCTAAAAGTCAATGCTAGCACAGCAGGCAGGCATTTTTAGACTTCCTATGGAGAAGCCATGTTCCTGGCTTGCAGAGATTTTTTTTTTTTAATTATTATTTTCACTTCAATAATGAATGATCTATTAGGCCCCTTGGTATCAGATTTGCTAGCAGTAACTCTGGTGATTTCATCCCTTTGAGGTGCTGTGGATATATAGATATTTGCAAATTCAAGAGGTACTTTTACAGGAAATGCGAATTCCCTTACATACAGAAATATGAGATGCTATTTCACATTTGAATAGTTATACAAAAACGCCTGTGATATATGAGTTATGTGAAAACTTCTTACTGATGAAAACAAAAGCATTTACATACCATGATGCCTTCACTACTGTAAATATACTGAAGATATCCAAGTAAGGTGTTGGCCTGTTTGATTATCCTGAACTAATGAAATTCGGCTGGTATCACAATATCTAGGAGCCCACATCTTGGTAAGTAGAATTTGATGGCAAAAAGAAATGAATGAAAATATTTGTCAGGATATCTTCCTTGGTATACTCATATTTTTCTCTAGAAAACTGGGATTAAGAGATTCACAGTTGTCTGTCTGTTCATAGTATGCAATTTTACTGAAATTAAGTTTAAATGTCTCATATTACCATATGAACAGGTACATTTCCAAAAGATATTTAGCTACCACAAGTGTAGTGGCCAATATGCACAGTCTCTCCAAAGGTGTCATTTTAACAGGCTTTTTCTCTTTGTTTCTTTAATAGACAAATTGCTGGATCTGGAAATCACTGTACGAATTTCCTCAATGCAATGCTTTTCCTTTGCATTCCTTTTTGCTATGAGTTATTGGAGATCATGCCCTGGCCTCCTGTGGTGCTCTCTGCTCATCTCAACCCTTCTCATTTTCAGCCCTTGATGTAGTTTCGTTCTGGATGACGTCGATGAAAACTTTGTTTAGGAGACTCTGCCTGTGACAGCTCGAGTAGAACTGATACCAGTGAAAAATGAACCTTTATAGGGCTTTTTAATTCAAATCCATCCCTTGTTTCCATCCCTTGAAACTCCACTGCTTTCACTGGAAATGATGTTGTAGAGATACAGTCTTTTCCCCCATCATTTTTGAACTGCAGCATGCTGCTTTCTTGCCCAAGCCATCAGCATGGAGACCTGTCATTGGAGACGCACAACTTCCTGAACAAGACTCAAAATGGCTCACATGCCATCCTGTCCCTGGGTCTATGCAACTTTTCCCAGGATAATGAACCCCAATGTACATGCTCAGCTCATTCCCTACGCTAGCCACGCTTTCATAGTCTGCCCAAACCTGGAACCAGATGAGGTGTTTACAGAGGCATAACATTTAAGCTTCATTGGTGCTTTATTTTCAGATTTTCGGCAAAAGAATTCTCTCTCTTTGTTCTCACAATCTGGCTTTAAATAACATGGGTGAAGCTGCCTGCATGTCTTATGAAAACTGCTTTTTATTCCTGCTGAAAGCTATGAACTGAACATGAGCCCAAAAGAAGAGCTCAGAGGATAAGAATTCAACACAATATTTTGATTAGTCTGCTTTTCTATTTGTATGGCAAGAAAAGTGTCACTATTAATGAAAACAATTGTGACTAATGCAGCCAACGAGAATATCATAGAATCATCTGCCACTTTATAATAGTAACCCATCATGAGAAACACCTTAATTACAGCTATTATCTCTTAAAATGGTTGGGTAACTCCTACATTAATCTGATTTGAAACAGAAAGTTGCTGTTATGTAGTGAAACGTTAAATGGGGCTTTGCTGTGTAATTACATGGGGTAAAGTAACTATAAAAGTCATTTTTAGTACAAGGGCTACACTGACGGATAATGACAAGTTCTCATTTTCTGGCTGTTAGCTGCCACCTGTATTTTCAGTAATTCCACAGGGAATTACATCTCATTTTAAGGAACATTTGCACTTGGGAAAAGGAGGGGGGAAAGATTGCCAGCTATGACCCTTATCAAGGGAACAATTTGCCTAATGGCAGGAGACATTTACAGGTGGCTTCCACCGGGTCGCAGAGATAACAATCGCCATTTCCCTCTCTTTGTTTTCTGGCAATAACTAATTGCCTCTTCTCCCCATTGCCCATTAGCCAGGCTCCACCAATTTTCATTAACTAGCTCTCCC